AATATAATATAAATATTACAAATTTATATTATATATTAAGTTATAATATCTAATTAATCTTATTCTAATTTTAATATAATATTTATTAGTATAATTTTAATTATTTTGATTATATTTTATTTAAATATTTAATATTTTAAAAATTTTAGATATTTTTTTAATATATTATTTTTAATTTATATTATAAATTCTTTTATTAAAATTTCATAAATAAATTAATTAAATATATTTTATATAAATAGTAATATAAATATTATTTATAATATTAATAAATATTATATTTAATATACAAATATTTTAAAATTAAATTATATTTTCTTAATTAAATGTTACATATAATTAATTATTATTTATAATTAAATTATAATGACTAAGAAATTAAATTTACATAATAAAAACATATAATCTAAATTTTATCCTATTATTATTCTGTATTTTCGACTAATTATTAATTACAACATTATAATTATATTTTTAGTTTCTAATTTTAAATACGCCTTATTTTTACAGTATAAACATATCCTTTTTAATAATATCTTTATTATAGACAGGATTAGTTTTACTCAATTTAACATTTTTAGACCTAATAAGAAACAAAACAACAAACTACATTATGTTAAATTTATTTGCATTTTTTGAGTCATATTTTAAGTTTTCCATATATTCTTTTTACGTCTGGCATTATGCTATAACAAGAATATAAAATACTAATTTATAAAGCTTGAAAAACCGTTTTATAAGTTTCGTTATAATTGTGATAATAACATTGAAACTAAATGTTCATTCTATTAAAATAAATATGATTTGAAAATATTTAGTAGAATGATTTATTTATATAACAAGTGTGTGCTTTACTTTATGAATTTAATTTTTTTTTAATTCAAAATTGCATTTTCACATATGCTCTTTGTGCCTTAAATTGGTTGTTTTAAGAGAATTAATTAGTTTATGATTTGTAACTAATTATGTTAGAAAATAAATATTAACTTTAAATTGATAATTAAAATTTATAAGCCATAAAATTAAATATATAATACTTAATTTCTTATTAATTTACTAAAATTATTAAATGAAGAAATTTTATCTTTTATTAAAAAAAATTGTATTTTTAATAATAAAAATTGTATTTTTTATAATAAATAATTAACTTTTTTATAGAAAAAAATTGTATTTTCATAATAAAAATAAATATTAATTATGCATTTATAAATATAAAATAAAAATTTTATAATGTAAATATAAAAATTTTAATAAATATTAAAAAAAATATCTAATAAAAATAAAGTTTAAAATAAAGAATAATAAAATTGAATTAATAATCATGTTTTCAAATGTTAAATTTACTTTAATTGATTAAAGTTTTAAGAATTTAATTAGAAAAAAATGATTATTAAAATTTATTATTATGATTATTATTATAATTATTATTATTATTATTATTATTATTATTTATATTTTTAATATTATTATTATTATAATATTTATTTTCAATATCCTTTTTATTATTTTATTTTTTTAATTAATTTTCTTATACATTAATTTTTATATTTTTACTATTTTGATATTATTTAATATTAAATCTATTAAAAATTTTTTTTAGTTTTCTTCATCATTTTTTTTTATTATTATGTTTCTTTTTTAATTATTATTTTTATTTAAGCATTTTTATTTTTTTATGTTTTCTAATAAATTTTCAAAATTAATTTATTCCACATTATTCTTTTCTTTATTTATAAAAATACTATATTTTAATTAATTAATAAATTCATTTCTTCTTAATTTCAAAGGTATATTTCTTTATGCTTAATTTAATATTTAAATATTCTTTATTATTTTATCTTACTAATTATTATTTATTTCGTATTTTTAAAAAGTACTTGATAATGTTTTATTTTTATAAGCAATTTATCTTTTTTAATTTTATGATACATTTTTTTAAAATATATCAAATGATTATTCATTATGTTAGAATTTCGAATTATTTTATAAATATTTTGGTATAGTAATCGTATATTATTTTTTTAAATATATATTCTAATGAGATAGTTATTTTTTCATATAAAGAGGTTATTGATTATTTTTTTAATTCATTTATATTTATATTATAATTTTTTTATATTTAATTCTTGTGTTTATTTTAGCGTTTTGTATTTAAAATATTAAACAATATATTATATAATGTTATTAAATTAAGTGTAAATTTAAATGTATAATTAATAATAATGTATATTAAATTATACAAATCAATAAATAAATATAAAAATATCAATACAAATTAATTTTATATATATATATACAAAAAAGATAAATATAAAAAATTATTATTATATATTATATTATATATTATAAAATTTTATATTTAATAATTCTTATATAAAATATTATTATATCAAATGTTATATTTAAAATAATTAAATTGATATATAAATAAACTATTATATAAAAAGATAATAATATATTTAAGAAAAATAATCGAATAAAAATATTAATTAAATAAAAGATTAATTAATTAAAAAAAAATAGAATAATATATTAAAATATAAAGTTTTATTAATATCTTTATTAATTAATTAACAAAAAATTGTAATTTAAACATAAATAGATAATAAATATATATATATTATATATATATTTATATATTTTTTATATTTATTTATATATATATATTTTTATATATAATATCATAAATGAAAATAATACAGAATTTAAAAAATATATTTAAACAATAATAGTAAAAGCAATATATTTAATTTAATAAATTTGAGTCATAATTGAATTATTAGCTTTTGACTTCATATAAAAATATAATTATTTCCATATTATCATTGATATTTGTGAACTAATTGCATTCGCGTTATTAAGTAAAATTATAAGGATATATTTTATTTTTATATAGATTTATTATAGAATTATTTGCTATCTTTTAAAAAGATAATAACCGGAAATTTGAAATATTTCATTGTTATAGATGAGGCTAATCCTAAATTTTCATATTTTCCTGTAAAAAGAAAATTATCAAATTTTTAATACTATTAAAAACCTTATATTTAGCCTGTATCTGATACTTTAAAAGAAAAAAACTTTCAGAGTTTTTATAAAGATTATTAAATCAAAATAATAAAAAAAGTTTTACGTGAAAATATAAATAATAAGAAGACGATAAAGTTGATGATAGGAAAATGCATTGTATAAGTATAAATAAGCAATTTACTAATGATATAATTTTAAGATTAAGTTTCAATTGTAAAAATTGCAAAAAAGGTAATAGAGACTGTTTTAAGTAAATTTTAATATGGATTTAGTTGTTAGACAATTCAAGCATAAAAATCATTTATTTCAACGAATAATAGAATATTTAAATATTTTTTTATTTTTAAAATCTTAATAATCAGAATTTTTTATTTCTAATTAAAAATTTAGAGAATATGTCTTATAGGATTTATAAAAGGCAATTTTTATTTACTTTTTGCTACTAATATTGTTGCTCATGGTATAGATATAAGAAAAATTGGTTTAGTTATTAATTTAGATTGTCTTCTAGTGAATAATAAAGAGAAATACTTCGATATTAATCGTTAAACTTATATAAATATGTTAGGATGAAAATAATATAAAATTATTTGATGGAAATAATACTTTATTGGGTAAATATTTTTTAAGAATTGATTAAAAAGATAATGAAAATTTGGTAGTTTAAAGATTAAAAGAAGTTTTTTTAGATTTGAAAAATATTAATTTTAAATTTAGTTAATATTGTAATTAAGTTTACTTATTTATATAATAAAAACTTCATATAAAAAGTATAATAAAATTAATTATAAATATAAAAAAAGTTTTAAGATTTATTTTTATATATACATAAAAAACTCATTATTAAATCAAAAGTTGCATTTTTTTAATCAACTATTTTCGGATGACAATTCATCTGAACTTTAAAAAGTATCATTTAAAATACATTAATCATAAACATCAGTAATCAACCTCAATTACATTACATCTATATATGTAAATATCATAGATAAAACTGTAATAACACAAGACTCTAAAAAAGTAAACAAAATCAAATAATTATACTGATATTTTGCATAAGTAACATCCTCAATTTAACCTATAATCATAGTATTAAGCAAAAGTCCTATTTTTAATTAAAAATATATATAAAATAGTATATATAATAACCTGTCTACAATAAAAAATTACAAAGTCCTCCAGCCGTTCCCAAATTTTTTTTTTTGACAACCAAGTTTAAACACGGCCATAAAACACACTATAGAATTCCATAGCCAATCCCAAATATTCCCAAAGAAACGAAAACAAAAAAATAGCAATTATTTTATTATTTACAAACAGGTTCAGAATATATCATAATGAAAAAAAAATTAAAAAGCAATCCACCTGTAATCGCGAAAATCCCTTTATTTCCAAATTTATCTGAAAGTAATCCCACAAAAGGAATACATAAAGCCCCTAAAACAAACGGATAAGAATAAAAATTACTCGCATAATTTCTTTCTATACCATATCTATTAATTAATATTTCTAAAAAAAAAAAATGTTAAAAAAATTAAAAAGAAAAAAAAAAACCTTATATATTAGCCATAAAAGGTTCCAAAATCATAAAAGTGAAACAAATAGTAATAATAATAAGCCAATAAATAGGAATAAATTTTTTAATATCACCTAAATGAACATTCTCATTATTTTCACAATTTTATTTCTCATTTTCTCCGACACATATCCTATCAACAAAATTTAATAATAAAACACTAAAAAACGAAAATATAGACACATAAATGCCTATTAGTGCAGCTTCCCAAATTAAACCATTTCTATCATAAACATGAGGATATACAAAAGTAGAAACAAACATTGCAACTCTTCCTACTGCAATTATAAATCCCATTGAGAATGACAATTAATATTTAGGAAACCATCTATTTATTATATTAAATTCACACACATTAAAATTCTCCATCCCTAAACCAAAAAAAAACCGACCTAATAATACTAAATAATAGTTTTCTTTATATAAACCATAAGTACACAGTGATTACCCAGAAAGAAGACATATTGAACAAAATATCATGACTTTATAAACACCTAATTTATCAACTAAATATCCAGCTAATAAGGCTAAAGGGGGTACATTCATTACACTATAAAATAAATTGTATTAAAAACCAGTTATTTTTAAATGCTATTTTATTTGATTTTATAATACTGCAGGGAAATCATCCGAAAAATAACAGCCTATATTTGCACAGGATATTATAAATAATATTAAATAACGATATTTGTTTGGAATATCACTTTTTTTTATATCGATTTGTTCTATTTTTTTTAATTTTAATTTTTTTTTTTTTGAATAAAACCCTATATATCTTCGTTTTATTAGATTTAATTATAGCTTTTTTAAGGGGATTTCTTATTTTATCTGATTCTTAATTCATTAAAATTTATATTATTCATTGTATTTATGTATATATTTTTATTTTATTTTTACGTTTTTGATTTATATTAAAATATTAAAAATATAAATATATATATATATATATATATATATATATATATTTTAATATATAAATATAAACTTATATATATATTTAAAAAAAATATATATATATGTATAATTAAAAATTAATAAATATTTTTTTCGCAAAATTTATAAATTATAAATTAATTTTTTATTTTATAAATTAAACATAATTATTTAGAAGTGATAAGAAACATTAATTGAGACTCGTGCCAGCAAACATTATTTGACTTGTATTAGTAATATTATAAAAAAACCAAAATATAATTAATTTAAAAAATAAAAATAAGGTATTTATTTTTTTATAAAAGATAATATTATAAAAAAAATTATAAAAATTTTATTTAAAATTTAAAAAAAGAAATTTTATTATAATTTGCTTTATTTTATAATCCTTTAATCAAAAAAAATAATGTCTATGCTTTCAAGAAAAATATAACCAAGAATAACTTTTTAATTAATTATATAAAAATTAAAAACCAATAACTAATATAAATAGTTAATTCTCTTTAATTAAAAGTCTTATAAAAATTACAATTTATTTAATAATAATATTTAATGAACATATAAAGTAATCTTAATAAATAATAAATAAATAACTATATTAACACAAATTATTATAATATTTATTATCTCTTATAATTTATTTTATAAAAAAACTTAATTATAATTATACATACTTAATAGTTATTCTTTGATTTTAATTTAAGTAATGTGTGATTTTCGTTCTATTTAAATAAGAGATAAAATATGCTTGAAAATATTTAAATGGTTAACAAAATTGGAATAATTATATTATTTTTGAGTATATTTTTCGACTTTTTTTCATTTATGAAAATGACATCATTTTATATATTTTCTTTAATATAAATTATTTTAGAATTGAATCTTTATAAATTTTTACAATTACTACTATATTTAATATATTCTAAATTATACATTGGTGATTATATTAAAAGATCTACTTGATAATTTATTTATTTTAATTATTTGTTATACAGCTTTTTAAAAAATATCAAATGTGAATTAATATGAAAAAAGTTTATTTTAAATATTTTTTTTTATTATCTATGAAATTTATTTTGTTTTTCTTTTTTTAATTAATTTAAACCTTTTATATGAAATTAATTTTAGTAAAAAAAATATAAAAAACATTTATTTTAATTTAATTTGCTTCATTCTTTAAAAATTTTAAATGCCCTTAGAAAAGTACAAAATTTACCATTCTAATAAATTTCGTTTTTTTAAAATAAAAATTAATTTACATTATTTACTATATAAATTAATATAATAATAATTTAGCTAAATATGAATTTTTAAATTTTTCTTATAATTAAACTAACAATTAAAAATAAAAAATAAAAAAATGCTTTCTTATTCTTAACATTAAAATGATATTGAAAATATTTTTTAAATATAAAACATTAATTTATAATAATTAAACCAAAAATCCATAATAAAAGTAATTTAAATTTCTTTTATTATACTCTTTGTAGAATTAGCAACATGTGTAATAACAATATTTAATAATAATATACAACAATACCTAATAAATAGTAAATTTATAACTTTATTAATAGTATTAACATTATTAATATATATGAATGTAATACTTCTTAAAGATAAAATTGCTTAGGAAGTACCATAGAATTACTTTTTACTATTTATTTTTACATTTTGTTCTACCGAGTTTATGTGTTATATTTGTTCGGAAGAAATAAGGATTATTTAAAAATCATTAGGTTATCATTTAGGACTTAAAATAATGTTTTTTTCTATTTTCGGAGCTTTTTTAAATTTTGAGAGCTTAATCTTGAATTGTTTTTTTATTCATAAAAAATATAAATATATATATTTAGTTTTAAATACTTATTTAAACTTTTTTTTTTGTGCTTTTTTTTGTTATTATTTCTTGAATATACAATTTTTTGGTACTGGTTTTTCATTAGTTTTTACATTCGGAGCTTTTTTAAATTTAGATATTCTAAATTCGAAATAATATGGATCTTATTTTGATTATTATATTAAAGGCGTTGTTTGGTAAATTTATTATTTTAATTTGTTTTTCCTTTGTCTTTTAAAAGCTATTAAATCAGAATTGATTTGAAAATATTAAATATAATGATTTAAATGTAATAATATTTAGTTTTATTTATATTAATTTTATGTTTTATTATAAAAGCTTTTTTTATCATTTTTATGTTTAATTATGTAAGTTTTTTTTTATTTAAAATTAAACTTTTATAATTTTTAAAATGAATTATTATTATTACTTGCTTTTAGAAAAAATATAAATGGCTTAAATATTATATTTTAAAGATAAACAAATTATTAACTTTATAAAATATACATTAATTAAAAAACTTTAAAATAAAAAATTAAACTAATTTATTAAAAAACTAAACTAATTTATTAAAAAAATAATTTTTTCCAAATATAAAGTAATAAATAGATAATTATTCCTATAAGTCAAATTATTTTTAGGCCAAATAGTATAAAATTTAAAAATCCTGATTCTATAAATTAAATAAATTTTATATATTTTTATTTTTACTAATAATATTATTATAATTAGAAATAAATTATTTACAATTATTAATAATTAATTAAAAATATTTTAAATTATTTAGTTAAAGAATAATTTTAGTATTTTTTATTATCAAGTTATCTATAAAATTAAAAAATAAGTAAAAACGAAATTTAATTTAAAAATTATGTATATATACAGCAAATTTTAAGTATGTAATCCCTAAAAAATAAATCAATAATGATTTTTATATTTGTGACTGTATGCAATTTATAAATTCTAATTATTAAATGTTATAAATCTTAATTTTATCATATTAAAGGAAGTTTTTTTAGTTAATTTTATCAATGATTTAAAATTTAGTCTCTTGAAAATATAAAATTTTTAAATTTTAAAAAAATGTAAATTATATTAATATATTTATGTTTCAATCAATATTATTATACTTAATTTTTTAAACCTTTTTATATATATAATTTATGATTTTTATTATTTGTTAAATAAATCTAAATATAATAAGGCTATTTAATTATATATATTTTATTTATAAATTTTAACAAACTAATAATAAATATGTTATTATTATTTTTTATATTCTAATACTAATGTTTTTTTGTTATTTATATATAAATATTATAATTTTTAAAATATGAAAAATTAATATAAAGTAATTGTTATTATAAAAAAATATTTTAAATATATATTTTTATCGTTCAAATTTACAAAAGAACCAAAAATAGCTTGAATTTAAAAAAAAAACTAATGATTATTATTCTTTTATTGATTTTAATAATTTCAAAACATAAAAAAATAAATTTAATATTATTTAAAATTATAAAAAATAAATTTAATATTAAATATCTAGCAAACCGAATATTCATATTTTTTTTTTTATTAAATTAAACATAAATAAAAAAATCAAAATATATATATATATATAAATAAATAATATATATACTTACCTAATTATTAACTAATAAATAATTAAAAAAATCTTTATTTATTATACAATACAATGTTGAAAAGACTAATAAATAAATAAGATTTTAAAATAATAAAGATATAATTTATTTTACCTTTTTAGAATTCATAATTCGCACGTTAGCAATATTTAGTCAAAAAATACAATATTTTTATTATTTTATAGGTATTAACATTTTTAATAGCACTATCAGCATTTTTATTAATTATTTTAATATCAGCTAAAATAAATGTTATGTAGAAAGTAATTTATTATTATATTTAGCTTATTTTTATACTTTTTTATATGACCATATAAAAAAGTATTTATTGCTGTTTAGTGGTAAAGAGATATTTAAAAAAAATTCATTATTAAAAAGACCTTGAAATAGTTATAATTTATTTTTTAATGTTTAGAAATCTAGCCTCAAATAATTTTTAATTAAAAAAAAATTATATATTCTTATATTTTTTTTAAATAAATTTATATATTCTTATATTTTTTAATGTAATTGCCAACTTATTTTTATTTAAATTTTTTATTATTTTACTTTTTAGATATATATTTTAAAAAAATTGGTAATTGTAAAGCTGGTGCTTTATGTAAAATAGAAATTATATATATAGAGATTTTATAATGATTCTTTTAAATAAATACTTAGTTAATTAAAATATATTAATTATTTATTTTTGGCTTTCTTAATAAATATTAAATATGGATTAAAATGAAAAAATCATTATTAAGTCTTTTTTAATAATATAATTTATTTTAAAATTTTATCACTTAAGTGTATTTTTTAAAACAATAAAAATGATGTATATTGCAATAATAATATTTATTATTGCTTAAATAAAATAAAAATATATTAATAATTAAATAAAAAAATAAGAATAGGATATATATAAAAAATAAAAAAATTATTTAAATAAAAATAAAATATAAATTATATTATAATATTTTATTTCTATTATAAAAATAATTATTTTTGCTTACAATAATATAAATTATAATATTTTGAATTATTTAGCTAATTTAGTATTTTATAATATTAATAAATATATTATTATTATCATATTTAAAAAAATAATTATATTGAAAATTTATTTCGATTATTAACATTAAATTTTTGATAAATATTATACAAATCTTTAATAAAAGTATTTTAAATTTCTTCTTTTTATTAACTTTTTGGTTTATATTTTTTACATTACTAATATATAACCTATATTTAAAAAAAAATCTATACCTAATTTATTAAATAGTATATTTTTAATTATTAGCAAAATGGAAGTATCTTAAGAATTAAATCAATATATTCTGATAAAAAAGGCATATAGAATATAGGTTTTAAATATTATAATAATTGTTTTTTAGCATTGATATATTTTAAAATTTAAAAAATAATATTAAAATGATTAATTTTTTTTTAAAAAAAAATACAAATGTTATCAAAATATATATACTAAAATAAAAAAAATTTAAATATATAAAAAAAATTATCATTATATAAAAAAATTAAAATAATAAGTAAACAAATTATATTATTATAAATCAAAAAACTAAATAAAAAAAAAGCTAATCCATTTAACCTATAAAAAATAAATAAAAAAGTAGTGAAAATATAATTCGAATAAAAATATAAAAATATGATACAAAACAATCAATAACAAATATCAAATCATGTAAATAATAACTAAAATGGATAAATAAAGATAATTGGAAATTATTCTTACAATTTAAGACATTGTTTAGGTGAAGGAGCCTATGGAAAAGTGTTTGAAGGCATTGAGAAGAATACATAATAAACAGTAGCAATAAAAAAGCTAGACATCCGTTAATTTTAAAACGACAATTATTTACGTAATTCAATAATAAGTGAAATAGAAATTCTAAAAAGATTCAACCATAAAAACATAGTCAAATTTATAGATTTAATAACTACATAACGATCTTTATATATAATAACTGAGTTTTGTAAAGATCGAGATTTAAGGCATTTGTTACAAACAAAAAAATTAAATGAAGAGTAATCTATTAAAATATTAAAAGACATAGTTGATGGTATATAAAATAAATATTTATAAATTATATATAAATATATTTATTTTAAAATAATATAATAATAGGTTTTCGAGAATTAGTAAAACATAATGTAATACATAGAGATTTAAAACCTGCAAATATCCTAATACATGAAAATATTCTAAAAATAGCTGACTTCGGATTTGCGAAATATGTAGACTATTCATCAGCTTAAATGTTAAAAAGTTGTGTTGGATCCCCCTTATATATGGCTCCTTAAATCTTAGCTAGAAAATAATACGGTTTAAAGAGCGATATATGGTCAGTGGGTGTAATTTTTCACGAAATGGTATATAATGATGTCCCTTGGAAAGCTAGAGACGAAAAACAATTACTAAACAATATAATGAAATTTCCTTTTAAATTAAGACCAAATATTAAACTGTCTTCTTTTACTGAAGAATTATTAAAAAAAATGCTTGTAATAGAAGAAAAAGACCGAATTTCATGGGAAGAATTGTTTAAACTATTCGATTAATATGATAATAATAAACAGAACCCATAAATAAATTTATAAAGTATAGAAAACATACTTTAAAATAAATAAAATTTATAATAATAATAAAAGTTAAAAAAGACAATTTTCGATAATAATACAGGAAACAATGAAAAAACAGGAAATAATAATTAAAAAAATAACTCAAATAATAATACCACTTAATAAAATATAAAAAGATAAAACAGTAGTAACCCTTTATAAATAAAATAATTCGAAATTCTACAAACTTTTAACACTTTTAACAATACTAGGCAATAAATTTGCTTCAGACATTATGTAACAATAGATTTATTCTATAAAATAAAATAAAATACCAGTATTATTAATAATAATAATCTTTAGTATGAAAAATTACTCCTTTTTTTATCTTTTATAGTTAGAATGGAACAATAAATACTTTTTAATGACATAAATGATTTTTAAAATTGTAATAAGGACATTTTTGTATAGTCAAAGTAGCTTTAGGCTTTATTTTTTACAATAAAAAAAGAACTTGAGTTCATTAAATAATTCCTAGAAGAACTTTTTAATTATGCATAAAATAATAATATATTGAAATAGTTAAAATCGGATAAAGACTCAGGCTTTATTTTTAATATTATTTAAAATAATTAGGATTTATGTGATTCGGATAAATAAAAAGCAGAAGATTTAATTAGTTCTTTTGGAAATAATGTAGCCAAAGATATTGTTAATGAAATTAAAAAATTTATAAATTCTAAATCTAATAATGAACTTGAAATTTATAGGGGAAACCTAGTCTCTGCTGATTATATTTTCGATGTCATATAAAGTAAAAAAAAATACTTAAAGGACATGAAATATATTTTGAACAGTTACATGTTGAAAAATCTGAACATTTTGATTTTAAAGTCTATTTTGATAAAATTAATAATAGATTAGGTATTTTTTAATCGCCTTTTAGTTTTTTTGAATAAAATCTTATTTATTTTTTGTTATTTTTATTAAAAATAGAATTATATTTTATTTTTTCATATATATTCTTATAATATTGTTATAAATGAATTAATATCAAGTTTTTATAAAATTTTTGTAATATCTTTTTTTTATTATTATTATTATTATTATTATTATTATTATTATTATTTATTATTTAATTAATATTTTTAATTTAAAACCAATTTTATTTTATTTTATTATCCTTTTTTTAAAAAATATTTATATTTATATAATAAATATTTATAAATAACTTTTCTTAAACTCTTAATATTTTTTTATAAAATCTATTTATTTTACTTTTAATTTGAATTAATTTTATGTTTATTAATTAATTTTCTTTATATTTTTTTAATATATATACATTTTTTATTTACCAAAGTTTTATTTATATCTGCTCCTTTTTCTAATATATATAAAGCCATATTAAAATCTTCTCTTTCTAATATACTAAAAAGAGGATTTTAATATTAAACCTTATTAATATTTTTTAAATATTTAAAAATATAATTAAATATATTACCTATGTATATGTTGTCATATTAATATCTGCCTTATAATCTAGTAAAAGATCTACCATTTGATATTATCCCCATTAAACAGCTAAAAATAATGGAAATCTTTTCATTTTATCTTATATTTTAACATTTGCTTTGTTTTCTAATAAATATTTTGCAACGTTTAAACCAAATTCTTTATTTTTATTAGAACAGGAAATAGCTTTAAATAATAAACTTTATCCTAACTATATATATATATATAATATCTGTTTAATTTTTTATTCAATAATTTTTATAAAAAATATAAAACCCTGTCTTATAAATTGGGATTTATTTTATTTGTTTCAAAATGAATTTTGAATTTTTAAAAATTTTATTAGTCTAAAAGTAAGAATGCATTTCTTTATTAAGGAGTCTTGTTAAAATTTATATAGAAAATAAAAAAAAAATATTTTAATATTTTTACTAATGAACTATATCTTCTATAATTTTTATATTTAAAGAATAATTAAGATATAGAAAATAATATGATAATAGTAAAAATTATAGATGAGATAATATTTATTTGTATTAACATATTTTTAAATATATAATAATGTTTGTAATTAATTAATAAATAATTATTTTGTTTAAATAAATTAAAAAATTGCTTAAATTATAAAAAATATATATATAATATTAAATAATTGAAAATTTTATATAGATATATCTAAAAATTTTAATAGATATAAAAATATATAATGTATATTTATAAAAATTAAAAATAAAATATATATTAAACAAAAAATATAGATTTATTAATATAATTTTAATTTAAATATAAATGTTAAAAAAAAAAAAAAAAATATATATATATAAATATAAATATAAATATAAATATAATATATATATATTATAACTATTCTAAATAATTATATTTTTTTTTTTTATTTTATCATCTAAAAAATATTTATATATTTGTATATTTAGATTTATTACTTAATGATGTTACTTAGTTTTTATTATTTATCATTTTTAAACATTAATTTTTTAATTAAATTAATTTACAGATTTATTTATTTTTATTTTATACATTTCATAAATATAAAAACTTTTTATTCAGCAATAAATATTATTTATATATTATATATTTTTATTATCAATTTTAAAATTTTTTATATTTTACATTATTTGTTTTTCATTTATTTAAAATTTAAATTTTTTTTATATTTTTAAAATTTATTCCCTTATTATATTTTCATTTTTTTATTTATAAACTTATATATATATTTATTTAACTCAGAATTTTAATTTATTCAGATTACTTCAGAAAAATTTTATTTTTTATATTTTTTTCTTAATATTAATTTTAAAACTCTTATTTAAATTTAAAATTTTTAATTTATCTATTTGTTTTTTAATATAATATTGTTTTTTGTGTTTTTTATATTTAAATTTATTAAATATTTTTTATATTATTATTATTTTTATTTCTTTTTTTACTATTTGTTAGCTTTTTTTAAAAATAAAAAATAATAATATTTTATCATTATTTTTTTATTTCATATCATATTGCAATTTATTAATATTTTTTATTTTTTTTAAAAAAAACAATATATTTCAAAAATTAAATAATTAAATGACACTCTTATTAAATTATAAAATAATGCTTTTATAACATATAAATCCTATATTACCGTAAATATAAATTATTATTTATTAATATAGTAAAATTAAAATTAAATATATATTTTTTTATATATGAAATTTTAATCTTATATTCAATCTTCGCATAATTAAATTATTTATTATTAATCTTCTAAATTATTAATATTTTCAAAATCATTGTTTTCCTAAATACTTATACTTTAATATATATTTTATAAATCTTAAAAATTCACCTAACTCTAATTTTCATCATAAATATCAACAAAAATTTCTAAAATATCTTCAATTTCTCCCATAAAAACCCATTTTTTCTCATCTTTATTATTGTCTTCTTAATCATGTAATAGTGCCAATTAACGTTAATTAAGTCCGATTTATACATAATCATTTTATTTTATATAATACATCTGCATTTCGATTGGTTATAATTAAAACAAGGCATAGTTATCCCTAGTAGCCAAACAATTATTAGAATCGCACTATAAAATAATTTAATAAACATTGTTTTTTTAGCTATCTATATTTTGATATAACGGTACTATTTATAAATTTTTTTGATTAATATTTAGTTATTTTTTTGTCTTTTTTATATTTTCCATTTCCATTTGACTTTAAGAATTTTATGGCTTTTATGCTTTTCTTAATTTGCATAAAATTTAGAATCTTTATTTTTGTTAATTTTTTATATACAATATGTACTTTTATTTATGGAGTGAAAACATATTTTTTTCTAGAATTTATTATAAAATTATATATTTTACTTTTATTTTTTATAAAAAATATTATTATTATTTTTTTTTTTTAAAGTTTTATTACTTATTATGTTTTTTTAATATTTTACTATAAAAAAAGAAAATTCTATTTACAATTTAATACTTTTTTTTCCATTAAAGAATAATAGAAACATTTGTATATTTCTAATTTTTTGTATGTATTCAAACTTTTAGATTTAAATTTAAAAATATAAATAATTAATATAATTTATTTTATATTTATTTAAAAATAATTAACATTTATATTAATATTTATTTAAATTAAATTAAATAAAATACAAAAAAAATAATAAAATTTATATAATTTTATAATGTTTTGAAATTCTTATATCAATAGTATTTATAATATTTTTTTTGTCTATATTATAGTTATTATCGATTAAATGAAGACAAATATTAAGATATTTTAAATAAATACATTAAAATTTGATATTTTAGATATTTTTAATTATTTTATTTAAATTAAATAAAATATAATAAAATAAAAAAAAAATTATAATAATTAAAAATATTTATTAAATAAAAAATTATAAAATTAAAATTCTATATAAAGTAATATTAATATAAAAATTATTTTAATATAAAGCAAAAATAAACAAAATATAATAAAACTTATACAAAATATTATAAAAATAAATAAAATTATAAATATTAAAAATAATTTATAGGATTTATAAATTTAAGTATATATTTATAAATGATTATTAATAATATATAATAATATTATATAATATAATTATAAAAGAAAAAAAAAAAATATATACGAATTTTATTTTTTAAGTATATTTATATTTTATAATATAATTAAGCATAATAATAATAAATTGATATAATGGTTATTTTTTTTATTTTTTTAATAATTAACAAATAATTATTTATTTATTTAAATTATAGTAAATAATGAATAATTATGAAATCATTAAAATATAATATAATTAATTTATATTTTAAAAGATATATAAAAAAAATGTATATATATATATATAAACATATATATATATAAATATTTTTTATATTTTAATTATTAAATATTATAATATTATAAACCATTTAAAGATATTTTTTTGCTTATAATTTTTTATATTATTGAATTTTTTTTTATATTATGTTTTATAGAAATATATTTTTTTGTGAAATTATATAAATTTTGGTCTTATTATTAATCAGAAAAAATTAATTAGGTTTTATTAAAAGTCTTTATTGCAATATTTTTAATTTCAGAATCTTCATATATAAATGCCTATATAACCATATTTACTATTATAATTTTTATTAATTATTTATATTTTTGATATATATTATATAAATATTATATATTATATTATATTTATATTATTTTTAAATTTTTTTTATTATTTTTTAATAAAAATATATATTACATTCAATTTAGAATTATTTAATTTTTACATTATAGTATAATTAAATTTTTTTAAAAAAATATAAATTTAAAATATATATATATATATATATATTTAATATTATTTTATATATATATATATTTTAATATTATAATTAATATCAATTATTTCTTAAAAATTTTTTAATTAATTTATTATTATATTCATCAAATTTCTTATTTTTAATTTTTCTTTTTTTATTTTTTCGCTTTAAGAATTTAATTTAATACATTCATAATTCGGATTATAAAATTCTTCCAATGATTAAATAAATTTTAATTAGAAATGATTTATTTTTTAATTTTTTAAATATTTTTTTGAATATGTAATTTAGAATAATTTATCATTCATTAAATTTAGTAAATCTTATTTTATATTATCTTTGTTTTAAAAAACATTTAATTATTCTTCCAAAAATTATAAAACACAATCTTCTTTTTATTCAAAAACTTATATAAATTTTTTAATTTATCCATTTAAAGACTCTTATATACTTTCTAAAGGAGAAGAGAATTTATCAGTATTAAAAACTAATTCATAGCATTCATATGATTATTATTCATTAAAAAGTTTATGAAACTCATTTTATATTTATTTTATTTTCTCTATTTCTAATATTTCTTAATTATCTTCCAAATCTATTACATTTATAATTTTAATATTATTCTATTTAAGAATATTTTCATATTCTTAAATTTTTTTCGCATTGTCAGTTTATTAAATATTAAGATTACTTTTCTAATTTAAAAGTTATTCAATTTCATGATTAATATATTTAAAATCGTAACTTTTAATTTATTTTATTTCTTCAAAATTTCTATTTAAATAACTATAATTGTGCTAATAAATTAAATTTGAAGACTATTATTTTATACTTTCTTTTATTTTTAAAAGTTCTAATTAACTATCATTATATATATTTTTAAACTCATTATTATTATTATTAAAATTACTATTAATATTTTTATTTAAATTCTCAATTTTTTTATTTTTACATATATTTTAATTAATATTATTAGATTTTTAATTTGATGACATTCTTGTATAAATATTATTTTTTTATAAATCATGTCTATTATCTAATTTAATTTTTTTTAAATATTTAGCCATTTTTTCTTCACATTTCTACTTTATTTCTTCATTTAAATTAATATCTTCAACCTAATGCCTTCTATCAAATAAAGAAATTCTTGAATAAAGGCTATTCCATACTGTATTAAAATCTTAGAAGAAAGTCTTATCATTAAAAAAGTTCAAATAATGTTCTAATAATATAACTCCAGCTAATTTTATTCGATAATCCATAATTAATTATTTTTCCGGTTCATTTTTAGTTTTTTGTGATTTTTTATTAATATATTCAAACATAAACTCGACATAATCTTCTTTTAAATCATGTTTAACTAGCATTTAATATAAATTATTAAGGCTTGAAATATATTTTGGGTCACTCTAACTTTTAGTTTTATCAGTCTCGCCAAAAATAATTTAACTATATTCTTTTTTCTCTATTTTTCTTTTTTATTAAAAAAAAATTTATAAATCATTTGGAAGGATTTTATTCATTAAAGTGCCTTAAAATTATTTATTTATTTAACTTTTATTCTTTTTTTATAACATTTATGTCAAATATACCATCATATAACCTATTTTTTATACTTTTTCTCTATATTCATCAATATCATTTAATGACTTTTAATTCATATTTATATTTATATTCATTTTTATTTTATATTATTAATTATTATTTTTTTTATTAATATTTAAGATTATATATTTTTATTTAATTATTAATAATATTTTTTAAAGTAATTTTAATATAGTATTATTTAATAATATATAGATATAAATAAAAAATAAATAATAATAATATTATAAATTATATTTATTTAATAAAAATAATATTAAATTTAAATATAAATATATATATAGAAAAATTAAAAGATATTATTATTTATATTAAAAACATAAGGCATAATAATGTTTAGTTTAATTAGAAAAATATAATTTTTGGAAGAAAAATAAAAAAAATATTTTAATTTTGTAAAATAATAAAATAATATATTAATATTCGAATAATATATATATATATATATATATATATATATATATATATAAAGTATACCAAAAATAAAGGACATACAATAAATATATATATAAAAAAAATATTTTTGAATCAATAAAAATACCCAAAAATTCATTTATTATTTTTTTTATAATCTTAAACATTAATAAAATATACTAAAATACATGCTGACCCACAAAAAACACATGGCAAGCTAACTGTAACCCATCTAATAAACTCTTCGCTATTAAAATATTAGCTTTCACTAATAAAAAATAACACAAATCCCGTAAAAATTTTATCAAAAAAAGTATAAAATCCAAAAACAAATGAACAACTCTTATCTTTATTCCCCACAACATCCGAAATAAACGTAATAGCCGTATTCATTGTCAAAGATTACGCACATCCAGTAAAAATAGAAATTATATACATTAAAAAATACATATTTTATTAAGCAAAACCTAACATTATTGAAGCCGAAAGCATAAAAAATCCTCCTAAAGCGAAAGCTGATTTTTTTCCAATAATTTTGAAAATCTCATTCAATAAAGAGGAAGTAATTACACATGAAGTATATAAAACTAAAGGCACTAAAGCTATTTCTATAGGCGTTTTATTCACTACTTCATCTTTAGATGCTACTTTCATAACATAAACTAAATAAAAACTCATCATAGTAGAAATTGAATTAAAATATACCCTACATCCTACAAAAACAAACGCAAAAACATAAAATTTCTTTTTTTTTAGCCAATCTTGCCATCTGCATTCATGTCCTTATAAAATATTTAAATTTATAGTAGAGTCAGTCTAATTTTGGAGACTTATAATTATATTTTCAGCCGTTTTTTCATAACAACCTTTTTATAAATTCACTTCATTTATATTTATAATGAAAAAGAAAGAGGTAAAAATCCCAAAAAAATAAATAATATAAACTAATATCTCGAAATCTAATTTAGAATCCTATATGAATTAAAAAAGTATCAAAGCACAACTTAAAACTAATAAATTGGCAATATAACCGAATGTATTTCTCATATTATTTAACCAATCTCGCTTTTTCATTGAACTAGTTAAAGATGGAATTAAAGCCATATGAGAAACTTACATAAAAGATCTTCCTATATTAAAAATTGACGCAAATATTATATAATAAATTTCTTTTTCAGTCTAATTAATATTCTCATTTTCAAAAAGTTCCTTATTTTCCCCAACAAACCTATGGAAAATCGGAATAAATGAAACTAATACTAATACAAAACCGACTATATACCATGGCATTCTGCTTCCTAATTAAGTATGTGTTTTATCGGAAAAATAACCTACTATTGCAGTTGAGATTGCAGCGAATATTTAACCACTTAATAAAGCATATGAAGCTTTATTTAATTTTATTATATATTTTATCCAATATAGGAAATAACTTTTTTATTTTATTTAGTTTTTTATTTTTTTTATTACTTAAACCAACATGAAGCGCATAAATCATTAAAAAAATGGCCTAATGAATAGGCATATTTTTATTTTTTAGTTAAAATATCATATTTTTTTATTTATTATTAATTAATACTTTAAATTAATAAGCTTTAGTCTAATATTACTTTTGATATCATAAAATATGTTATTATTTATAGTTATTTTATTTTAAAAATTAAAAATAGATGATAATTTTTTATTACTTTGTTTAATATTTTATTAAGAATAATAAGATTCTTAAGAAAAATTATAAGTGATTTATAAAAGTTTTTATAATTTATATTTAAAAAATATTTAAAATAAAATTAAAAAAAAAAAAAGTGTTTTAAAACAAAATATAGTATTAAGAAAAAAAAAAAAAAATATAAAAAACTAATATATATATAAAATAACAATATATATTATTATTATAAATCTATTATAAAAAAACTATAATATTAAAATATAAAATTAATAAACATATAAAAAAAATAGAAATTAAATATTATATGAATTAAATAATGCAAATATTAATTATTTATAAAATAATAAAAATATTAAAAGAGAATATATATATATATATATATATATATATATATATATATATTATATATATATATTATATATTTTTATATATTTTTATATATTTATATATTTTATTTAATATATATTCTATTTTTATTTGTTATCAATTAATTGTATCTTTATCAGTATTTTTTTTTTTTATTATAGGTGTTATTTATTTATCTTTATTTTTTTATTATTTTTATTAAATTTATATTTCATTTTATTCTTTAAATTCTGTTTATTATATTTAATTAACTTATTTTATTATTTTTTTATTTTATTTTTCTTAATATGATAAAGCATAGTTTTAATTATAATTATTAATAATATATTGCATTTTCGTAAATGAAATATTATTAACCTTCGTAGTTCTGTTTTCTGAATGAGGCAAACAAGGCCTTTATAATTTTTTTTATTAATTAAAAATATTATTTATATTTACATTATAAAAATTAATTTTTATTAAGGAAATATTATACTTTTTTTTAAAAAAAAATTATATTCTGAATTTATTTTTCGAATAAATTTAGTATTTTAAAAACGCATATAAGTTGGGCTATATTTTTTTTATTATTAACAATAATTTTTAATAATACTTTATTTATTTTTATTTAATTTGCTTTCTTTAATCTAATTTTATATTTATGGAAAATATATATATTGCTTTTATATATTATTTAAATTTAAATCTTATTTATTAAAAGATTGTGATTAATTTTATCTTTATTTTTATAAAATGTATTCTGAATTATCTTTATTTTTTTATTTTTTTATTTCTTGTTTTTTAAATCCTTAAAATATCATTTATATGCGTTTTTTATTTTACTATATAATTTTTTTATTTTTACAAAATTAAATTATTTTAATAAATAAAAGCTATGAATACCTATAAAATATAACATAATATTACAGGATATATAAATATATGAAATAATTAAAACAACAATAATAAAAAATAAAAATTTATTTTCAAAATTTAAAATATTAATTTTTCTAAAATCCTTAACTAAGTAAAATATTTCTAACCATATTATTCATCATAGTGTTTCCACAAGAAACTGCTAGAACTTATTTATCTGGATAAGGAAAACATTATTAAATCATTTCTTTATTTATATATCCTTTGAAATATTTCCAATCTAAAGGCGGCTATTATTTGATTTATTTTTTTAAAAAATATTTTTTTAATAAAAAAACTTAATCTAGAGTATAATAAATCTTCAGTTTTTAACTATTTTTTTGATAATTTTCAATTTCTTTTCTTAATAAAATATCCTCCTATATACATTTATAATAATAATAAATATTTATATTCTATTTTTTAAAAAATACCTCAGTTTTATTTGCATATAATAAAACAAGTTATGTATTATCCAAATTATCTTCACATACATGTTATATTATTTAATACATTGGAGTGATTCCTGTTCCTCCTGCAATCATAAATATTGTTTAATATTATTATGTTTAAATATCTCCTGCTTACAATCTATTATCTATTTTACAGTTTCCTTAACCTAAATATTCGAATTTTCCATAAGGTCCACTAATTTCGATAAAGGAATTTAACTAAAAAAAAACTTAGAAATTTAAATTTACTTAGAATTTATATTTTTTTTTAAAAAATAAAATTATTTATATTTAATACTTATAAATTATCCAAAAAATATGTCAATTTTCCTCCTTCAGGATATCTTGGATCTGTATCTGGATAATAGACTTTTATTAATTATTCGAATTTTCCCTATTAATAATTTATTTTTTTCTTCGTATTAATTTTTTTACTTGCAACTTATAACTTGAAGTAGGTGTATATTTTCTTTAAATTTCTACGTTTTCAATATTTTAGCTTTTTTTTCTAATTAATTTTTTTATATTTTTATTTTTTACTGAATTATATAATGTTGTCCTGTTTTACAACCCAAAACTTAATCTTGTTAAGGCAATTTAAAAATAAAATTAAATGAATTTTAGCTTAGTTTTATTTTTCTATTAGTTAAACTTTTATTCGGTAATTTTTTAATGCAGTATTTATTGTACTGAAATTAAAATAAATATTTTAAAACAAAAAATTAAATTTATATTTAAAATTATATTATTTTTACATTTTTTTTTTTTTTTTTTTTTTTTGGATTAAAAATTAAAAAAAAAAAAAATTATTTTGTATTTTTATTTAAATATAAAATTATTTTATTTAAAAAAAAATAATAATTAATTTATTTAATTTTATTTAAAAAAAAAAAAAAAAAACTATTTATATTAGTCTATATATTAAAGTTTATAATAATTTTTTTTTTATTAATATTATAATAAAACTATATTAAATAAAAAATAATATATTAAAAAAAAACTATTAATATATATATATATATATATTATATCTTATAAATATCTTTAAAATATAATTTAGTCACATATTTAAAACTTATTCAATAATTTAATCTCTAGTTTCACTAAAATGTATATAAGCAATTGATTTTTCACCAAAATTTTATTTAATTAAATAATCAATTTTTTCATTTAAAAGCAATATTTCTTCACACTCTAATCCTTTAAGTATTTAACAAATATTAAAAATTTAATCAAGAATTTCCTTTTATTATAATTAATTTTAACAAAGAATAATAAAAGCTTATTCTAGATTTTCTAAAGACTTATCAAATTATTTAGAAAGAACATAATTTTCAAATATACTAATATGAATTTCACCTACTTTTTTGTTATTATTTCCTAATAAATTTTTCATCAAAAAAAGACATTATTATAATTATTCAATACTTTCTTAAAATTTCTTTTATTTATTTAGATTATAACTATAAAAAATATATAATAATATATAAATATTTATATTAAACCTGTAGTTTAATTTTAATTATAATAGTTAATATTAATTAGTATTATTAAATTTAAATATTTAAAAAACTATTAAATAATAAGATGAGGCTGCTTAAAATCTATTCATAATTTCATATTAAAGAATTATTTTTTCTAAATAATCGGAAAATTAAAGATTATTAATACCATATAATTTTTCCATTTAATCTTTTATTAAATTATATGTGATTATAAAATTATCATCTTTTCTATTAATAAGCAATAAAACTATATAAAAGTATTTAAAAAAATAAAAAAATAAAAAATAATATACTTGATAAAGCTTATAAACAATAAATAGTTTAAATATGATAACTACCATAATTTAAATTCCAAATATTATGAGCTTATTCGTATATTTCTTAAAAAAATATATATAAAAAAATAAATATATAAATATATAAATATATAAATATTATATATATATAATATTTATATATTTTTTATAATTATATATTAAGGATTTTTATGAATCATCTTTATTTTATTAAATTTAATTAAATAATTTTATTTTTATTTTTTTGAAATATAATTTTTAATATGTGTTATATATATATTATTAATTAAATAATTTTTTTAAAATAATACATTAAGCCTTTTCAAATTAATTGCAACAAGTGTACACATTTGCTTGTTCAAATAAAGTTTCTGCTATTACTGGATGATTATTTTTATAGTATTTTTTTCTTTTTTCCAAAATTTTATTCAAAATACACATCGCTTTATCGTATTTCTATTAAGAATTATAAATTTTAGCTAATAAAATATAAAAAATATTAATTTTAGCGTTTTCTTCTCCATATATATCTTTGCAAATTTTTAAGCATTCATTTTAGTTTTTTTCTGCTTTTTCTAAAAATAATTCTCTTTAAGTTGGAAAATTTTCACTATTTAAAAAATAAATATTAGATTCTTCATTTAAAAATAATGCAAATTCAAAAGATTTTTTCGTAAAATAATTTTAAACCTAAATTTTATTTTTTTGAATTTCATTTTCATCATAATATTAGTCTTTTTTTTATTTTTCTTATTATTTTTAAACCTAAAATTCCTTTGAAAAACTTTCTTTTAGTCTCCTTTATATTACTTATTTTTTTCTCAATTAATTCTTCCTCTTTTTATTTACTTTATTCTACTAATTCCCCAAATAAAGATAACGTACTGTAATTATTTTCTCCTAAAACTAATCTTCTTATAATATATCCCTTTTTTAGATTTTCTATGTATTCCTTTCCGTTAAAAGCTTCAAATTAATACGTTAAAGTTGCAATATCAGCATTTAATGGATGAAAAATTCCTAGAAATTTTTCACAGACATCCTTACTTTTTTACAGACATTCTTCTTATTTTCCAATCTCTCCTCTCTCTTCGTGAATTAAAGCCTTTATAAGCAGCAAATTTATACATAAAGAGCTTTATTGATATTTTAAGTCATCTAAATCTGGCAAATCAAAACTTTTATTTTATAATTCTTAAATAATAACATTAAATATTTTATAAGGAATTTAATAGAATTCTTAATTAGAGTTTTTTAAAAAAAAGAAATCATGTTTTTACAAAATCTCATATATATTTTTTCCTAAATAAATATGAATAATCAATGGAAAATATGATTTGTGATCAATGTTTTTCAAAAGGAATGTATTTTTATCATCGAAAGAATATTTTTTTTATAAAAAATCATCTTTTTTTTCTATTTATTATATATTTTATTTTTAATAAAAAAACGAACTCTTTCCTATCTAATAAAGATTTAATATATATTCTAAATCATTTATCTTTTATTCATATAAAACCATATTTAAAAATTTATCTATACTTTTATTTTTATTAGTTTCTTAATTTTCTTCATTTTTATTGTTTTAATTTTAACTTTCTTAATCTTTTTGTTGATTTTTATTTATTTACTATATAAATTTTCCTATCATGTAAATTTAACTTTAAATAACTTCATATTTAGCTAATTTTTCTTTATTTTTTAGTTTTTTTATTAATTCAGGATGGGTATTTTTTCGTGTATATTTTTAAGGATAATTCTATATTTCACTTATATTTTCAGGCTCATATTTTAGATAAAATTTAAACTTTGTTTTTATAAAAATTAAGTTTTATATTTTTATTTTTTTTAATTTATACATTATTATTATTATCTTTCTATAAAATAATGTTCTAAGGTTTAATATCAGAATAATATAATTAAATTCTATTCAACAAAATTAATTATTAGATTAAACATTTTATTAAAAATAAAAGATCTTCTTCATTCCATTTAAAATTATCATTTATAATTTAATCTAAACTAATTTAACCTTAAATAAATAATTTAATTAAAATATTTTTGTTTTTAAATATAAACCTTCCTTATAAATAATAATATTTTAATCTTAAAAAATCTATAAAATAAATAAATTTGTCTCATATTTCATCAATTTATTGCATATTTATTATTCTTTTAAAAAATCATCTTCAAATTCATCATAGAACTATATTTATATTAAATTTTATTAATTTTCTATGTCATAAAAACAACATTTTTTATATTTAGATTCAAAACTTTATTTTAAAAATATATATTTTTTCTCATCTTAAGTATTTATATTTTCCTAATAGCTTATAATTTATGTGCTTTTGATTTCTATTTAATTTATTTACTCATTCTATTCATCCTCAAATTCTTAAAAAATATTATCCAATTCAATAGAACTTTTTAATTCGACAAAAAATTATTAATTACTTACTTTATTATTCTATTGATTATTTATATTTTTTTAACTGTTTTCTTTGTTTTTCAATATTTCTTATATATCTTATCTTTATAACATTAATTACATTTTTTCTATAAAAAAAGTATAACTTTAATTTTCTATTGCGGACAAATATCTTATTTTTTTTAAAAAAATTAAATAAAATTAATTTTATTAAATTTACTCAATTGCTTTAGAATATAATACCATTAAAGTATCAACTAAGTTTATTGTTAGATTTTCTCCTTAAATAGATTCAATAATTTATATGTTTTAAATAATCTCATCTATATCCATATTTTTGTAATTTTTTATAGTCACTTCTTCTTCTTATATATGTTATCTATCGATTAATTTTTTATAATTTTATATTAATAATTCTAATTATTAATTTAATTATTAAGGATTTTAAATTTCATATTATTATTAGATTTATTTCTATTTATTTTTATGAGTATGAATAATATATATATGTGTATATATATATATATATATATATATATTACTTTATTTCCAATAAACCAAGTAATATTAACTTTATTAGATTTTTTATTAGTTTAATATTTTTTTAATTATTCAATACTTTAAATATTTATTAGGGTTGCTATATCGCCTTAATTAATACTAAATTCTAAAATAAATAATTAAGTAGTTAATATTTTTCTATATTTTTAAATTTAACAAAATAAATAAAAAAAATTCTATACTATAAAACCGGCTTCTTTTATATAATTTTTTAAACATCAAATACTTTATTATATTTTAATTATGATAAATATTCAATATTATAATATTCCCCTATATTAAATTATCCTTAAGCTAGTAAAAAATCAGAATTTTTAAGTCTATTTTATATTATTTTCTTTTTTTTTATTTATTAATTTATTAATTAATTTTTATTACTATATAATTAGTAGTTTCTTATACTATATCTTACAATTCTTTTAAATAATTCCAAACTTTATTTTTAAAAATATTTTTAAAAAAATCTCTTCCATCAGCAAAAGTTGGAAAACAAAACTTTTTAATTTAATATAAAATTTTTATAAATAATACTATTAAGAATAATACATCATTCAAAAATATTATCCTTGGAGGAGTAAAAGGATAATCTTAAGTTAAAATATATCAATATTTAAATCTTAATAAAAATTATGTAAAGATATATTATTTAATTATAAATATTATATTGTTAAAATCATCTATTTAAATAAAAATTTATATTAAATAATCTGTATAATTAATAAATGTTTTTTAAAAATACTGAAGATTTTAATTACGTTAATATTTAATCCAAAAGAAGGTTAATTTTTTATATCTATATTTATTAATAAATCATTTTATTTAGAAAAGACTTGAAGTTTTTGAATATCTTTTTTTAAAGAAAATAAATATAAGAAAGTAAGATAATTATATATTTATAATAAATAATAGATGTAAAATATAAACCAGATATAACTTTTTCTATATTTGGAATTAACAAAAATCTCGTACTAATAATTTATTTTAATTCTAGAGTAAATTCCATTTTTAAAAAATTATTCTATATTTAAAAAATTTATTTTTATTTTATTAGATAATATATATTAGATATAATATATTATATATTATATATTATATTATTATATATTATATATTATATATTATATATTATATTAATAATTTTCTTATATTTTAATTAAATTTATATATATTTATTTCGATTCTTATTTTTATTTTCAATTTTTTATTTATAATTGTTTTATTATTTATATTTGATGGAATAAATATAAATTTGATTTTTATTTTATTTTTAGATTTAGTAAATAATAAATATATATAAATAATTTTTTTTTAATTAATATAATATATACAAATAAATTAATTATATATTTTTTTAATTATATAATTGAAGAATTAATTTTAATATTATATTAAATTTTATGATTTATATAAATTATAAAAAAAAATTTAAAGTTTAAAATAATAAACTTTTATTAAATATTTATTTAATTTTTTCTATTATATTATATTAATTAATATTAATTTTTTTTTTTAATTTCTTAAAGCCTTTTTTTTTTTATTTTCTCATTTATTTAATATTTTTATCAATTTTTATAAAAGTAAGTTTATATTATATAAAATAATGTATTAATTAAAATCATTATAATTTTTTTTTTAAATATTCATATAAAATAATTATTTTTACATATATTTTTTTTTATTTTTTTTGTTTATTTTTTACTTATATAATTTAAATTTATTATTCAAAATTTAATTTTTTTATATTAAAACGTTACTAAAATAATATTTATTTTTATTGTTTATATTTATTTAATTATATTATATAAAACAAAGCAAAAATATATAATATTTAATATTAGTTATAAAAAAATATAATAATAATTTCTATTTAAAAAAATAAATAATGTCAAAAAAAAGTAGAAAAGAGTCTGATGTTTCCACAAAAAATCTTTAATAAAAACTATTGCCATAAGAAAATTAAGTTTAAAGATAAGATTAACATATTGATGATAAATAACCAACAAAAGAAGAACCTATATAAAAAAATTCTTAAGATTTAAATAATTAAGAAAAAATGAAAGAAAACAATGATTAAAAATCCGAATAAAAGCCAGAATAAAAAGAAAAAATATTAGAATAAAAATAAGAAAATTAAATAGATATAAATGAAATTAAAAGCATTTAATAAACATAAGTATAAATAGAAACATTATAATAAAAATAGAGTATTTTTATAAAAATTATATATAAATTTAAAAAAATATTTTTTTAAAATAAAAATATGAATTATAAAAAGTTAATGAAAATGAAAATACTCTAAATTATTTAGTTAAAAAAAAAATATTTTGAAAGAAACAGGTTTAATAGAAGCATATGATTGTAAAATATTTATATTAAATATAATAAAATAATAATATTAAAAAGATTTCATAAAATAATTATGTAAAAATGGGTTACCATCTGGAAATATATTTGAATATGCAGCTTAAGTAGTTTTAAAATATGAAGAAAAAATAAAAATAAAAGAAAATAAAAAAAAAAACTAATCTAAAACACACAACGGTATAAAAAATAAAAAAAAGAAAATTAAAATAAATATATATGTAAATATTAAATTAAAAAATTATATTCAAATAAAATAAAAATATAAATATATTTATATATTAAACACTTATTTATTTTTAATTATATTCATTTTTATTATATTTTTTGATATATTTAAATTAATTACAAAAAATAATATTTTTGCTAATATATATATTTTAATAAAGAATCTTATATATAAACAAATAAATCTTTAAGTCCAAAATAATAAAAAATTGATTAAAAATAAGATGTATTATAAAATAATAAATAATAAGAAATAACCCCGTAACAAAATTCTAAAGATAATGTTTTTATTGAAAAAAATTAAAACTAAACAAAAAAATAAGTTAATAAAAAAGATGAACCTTTAAATTAAGAAATTAAATTTGATGAAACTAAAAAATTAGAAAAATAAAATAATATTAAAAGTAACAAAAAATGAAAATTATTTTATATTTTTTTTTAAATAAAATAAAAAACTTTCATTTTTTTTTATTTTATTTTTTAAAATTAATTCAATTTTTGTTTCTTTTTTGTAATAAAAAAAAAAATATTAATAATTATTTTTTATAAAAATAATAAAAATATATAAATTATAAATTTTAAAATTCTTTAAAATATAAATAATAAATATTTAAAATCTTCATTTCAGAATTTATTTATTGTTATTTTCAATAACTTCATTTAATCTTTAAACAACAACCTTTTCATCAAACTTAAGAATATCCTAATTAAAGACTTATTTAACTTTTTACACAATCCCAATTGAGTTTTTATCCACTAAAGTAATACCTACCCCTAAATCATTATATCTTCCCGTTCTTCCTACCCTATGTAGATAAGTTTCATGATCAACTTCAAAATTTCTCTCTTTGATATTCCCTAGAGGACAATCTAAATTAATAACTAAACCAACTGTTCTTATATCTATTCCATGAGCGATAATATTAGTAGCAAAAAGTAGATCGAAATTACCTTTTCTGAAATCCTATAAGATTTATTCTCTTTATTTTGAATTTTTATCAGAAGTAATAAATTCGAATTTTAAATGAGATTTTTATGTCCTGTAAAAATCTAAAAATTTCTATACTTTATACAATTCATTGAAAAAAATTATTATTTAAGTTTAAATTGTTTAGCCACTCTATGTAGATTAATCTTTCCCTAAAACAGTATCTATTAGTTTTTTTACAATTAAAAATTTTTTTACAAGCCTAGAATCTTCAGTAACTTCTTGATCTTTGTTTTATTCTTTTATTTCTTCCTCATCTTCATCTATATAGAATTAATAAACGCCTTCCAAAGTAGTTTCTATACTAATAAAATGTATTTCATCATCATCATCTTCATCTTCATTTTCATCGTCTTCATCTTCTTATTATTTATTTTCTAAACTTTAGAATTTTTCTTTTGATTTAATAATCTTTGTAAATTCATTAATAGTTTCTTTATTTAGAGTAGCAGAAACAAGCTACATTATTACGTTTTCTCTTAATTTTATAAAGTTAATTAAAGTTCGGATTTTTTCAGGAAAAAATTTAAATGTAGTATCAGCTTCATCAATAACAAAATATTTTAAATTATCAGTCATTATCTTTTTGTCTGATAGTAAATATTTCTATAATAAATCTGGTGTAGAAACTAAAATTTATCCTTATAATTTTACTTATTCACCTGAATGTAATGAATCTACAAATATTCCCTAATTATATAAATATATTTATAGATTTTTAATTTTTTCTTTTTTTACTTCAGGAGCTAATTATTAGATTTCAACTCGAATTTATTAAATTAAATTTATTGTATCTGCTATTACTATTACTGTCGGTATATATATTTTCTCCTGAATATTTTTCTCTTTCTCAATATATTATTCGATTTTTGTAGCTGGCTTAGATAAGTTCTATAAAGCAAATTATAATGCAGGAATCACATAAGTTAAGGTTTTTCCACTTCCGTTTGGAGCCTTTATACCTATGAATCTTTAAATTTCTGATATTATAGGACCTATTGATCTATATTATATTAATGTAGGTTTATTTTTTCCATTTTTTATTAATTTTTCAATCAAGAGGGAATCTAAATCTTATATTTCGTTCCATTATTTGTCTATATATACGGTGTTTTTAAGTATTTATTTACATAATTATTTTTGTTCTTAATTTTCTTAATCCATTTGATAATAATTTTATATAATAATTAAGATATATTTTATTTATTTATCTATAATAATATTATATTATATATAAATATTTTTTTATTATTTTTTTTTTTTTGTTGAATATATTATTATTTTTATTAAAAATAAATATATCTAAAATTTCTGTTTAATTTAAAAATAAAATATTAAAATTAAATTTATTTATTTTGACTGAAATATTATATACATGATTATTAAATTAGTTTTTTATATTTATATGATGTTAATAAGTGTTATATCATAAAAAAAATATAATCTTATATTAGTTATTTTTTTAAAAAAAAATTATAATAATTAATATATATAAATGTTTTATTAAATAAAAAAAAAATATATAATATGTTTAATTTAATTATTTTTTTTTATATTAAAAATAAATTATTAAACTGAAACATAAAATATTTGTAATACAAAATTATTATAATAATATTATATTGTTATAGATTTTTTTTATATATTACATAATAATATTTTTAAAATAATTAAATTAAATATTTAATATTTAAAATATTTTCATCATTTTTTAATTATAATTAAATTAATTATATAATTATATATATTATTTTATACCTCTATAATTTTATTATTATTTAAGTAATATTTAATAAAAAAAAAATCTTATAAACTTAATTAAATTTAAAATTATTTTAATCATAATGAAAAACTAAAATTAATAATTATATAATCAATCGATTATTAAAAAAAATTGATGGATTAATATATATTTATAAAATAAATTAAGTATAATCATAATTAATTATTTAATTTTTTTATAAAAGAAAAATATTAATAATAATAAAAAATAAAATATATAAAAATTAAAATATGAGCGATTATTTAGCAGAATAATATTTATAACATTGTGAAAATGGTAAATAATAAAAAAGATTAAAAAATAAAAATAAAAAGGAAATCTAGATGAAGTCAAGAGATCACTTACTTAAAATAACGTATCTGTAGATTATTAAGATAGGGATGGTAAAAAAGAACAAATAAAAATCATACGTTGATTTTTTATATAGGAAATAATGGTTTACATATTGCATCTATGAACGGAAGATTAGAAATTTTAAGATTATTAGTATAAAACAGTATAAACCTAGAAACAGTAAATGGAGAAGGTAAATCGCCTTTACATTTAGCTTGCGAGAGAGGAGACAAAGAATGCATTTTATATTTATTGTTAAGTGGAATTAACCCAAATATAAAAAGTAATAATGGCCAAAAAGCAGGAGATGGATAGTTAGAAGCTAAAAATATTTTAAATAATGTAATTTGTGAAGAAAAAGCATTTAATATATTAAACTAATAATAAAAAGATAAATTAATAGAAATTTTTAATGATGTTGATGCCAAACCTATTGGATTTACTGAAGGAAACTTTATTCCTGGGTTAATAGATTTAGAAAAATCCAAAAGATTTAATAAATATATAGATGATACAATAAATGATAATATAGCAGAAAAAGATGCAAAGGATTTTATTAAATCATGTTCTGTTTGTAATAAAGAAGGAGTATTATCATATTTTTTTAATTTTATTTATATATTTTTTTTTTTTTAAAAAAAAAAGGTAAATATAGATGAATGGATTTTCGCTTTTTCAAAATTATTTGCTGTTGACTAACCTGCTTTTGAAAAATTCATTGAAGATTATGATTAGGCTGTTACTAAAAAAGGTAAACTTAAAAATTAAGGTTGAAAATATTATTAATTTTTTTACTTTTTGCTTTATATATATATATGTTTATTTTGTTTTACATTTTTTATTTAGATAATTTTTTAAATAATATTTGCATTTTTTTTATTAATTTATTTAAATATTTTTTGATTAAATTATGAATCTATATATTATTATTGTCCATAAAAAAAATTGAAAATTTTTCATTCATATAATTTTAAAAACTAAAAATAAAATTATCTTTGATTAAATCATAAAAAAAACAAATATAAATAAAAAAATATATATAATTGATAAAAAATACATTTTAACTATAAAGGAGAATTTTTAAAAAATAAAAATCTCAAATTTATTACTAGATATTTATTTTTATTTTATTTTTATTTTTTTTCTTCGTAATTCTAATTGCCTCTACACCTCTACATATACGAAATTTATTTTTTGGTTGTTTTTAGCAATATTGTTCTTTTATTCAGTTAGTTTATTAGATTCCCGAATTATTTAATTTCTACCGCAAGGACAAGTATCAAAATAATTGGCATCATTATTTTCTTGGCCTCAATTACCGTGTTTCTCATAGAACATATGTAAGCTATCATTTACTTAGTTTATTGCATAGAGATACACTTAGTGAAATATGTTTATTTTCTTATCGTTAATAAGATATAATTATATTTTCTTAAATTCTTTTTCAAATTTAGGTATAATGCTCATTTTATATGCTACGTTTCCAATTTTAATTAATGATTCTTCAAATCTCATTACTAAATCATTACTAAATTTGCTTTAGTTTAATAATTTTTTTTTTAATTAAAATTAGTTCTTATTGAATATTATAATTTTACCTTCTAACTGAATATGTTAATATTTTAAATATTCATTCGATGTAATTTTTTAAATTTTATGTCTGAACATCCCATTGTTATTAAATACTTGCAATTTTATAGATATTTTCATGAAAATATAATAAATAACTTAGCATTCCCTAAAAAAAAATTTTCGCCGAAAATCAAATTATTAAATACCATGTTTGGTATAGGAGGATGATTATTTTGTGCGATTTTGACTTTAGTTTTGAGTTTTAAGGTAGATTTTAGATTGGCTTTAGTGATTTTTTTAAAATAGGAAGTAAGAAAGCGATAGGAAGTTTATGAAATATTGATAACGTCAAAATATATAAAAAACTAATATTTTATTTTAAATATAATAATATATTAAATGGGATTATAAATTTTGGAAGTGTCATAATATTAATATTCGCAAAAATTTTTAATAGTATACACAATTTTTTTATATTATTGAAAGTTAATATTATATAATTCAAGTTTTCTATTTAATTTAGGTGATATTTATTATAAATAAATTATTAATCTTTTTTTTAAAAAAATATAATTATTTATACATATTATAATAAAACAGATAAATAAAAGAAAATATTTATTTTTTAATTAAATAATATTAAAAATTTTAAAAAATGATTCCACAAGATTTAAGTATGAAAAATTTCTCAACAGAGTAAGAAGCAATAGATCAAAGCGAAAATTTGATATTGCAAATATTAAATAACAAATAAATGTTAAATCCAGATAAATTTCGTTAATTATCCTAACAATATAAACGTAAATAGCAAGAAATAGATAGTGAAATAACAACATCAATCTAAAAATAAGTGGAAGGAATATAAACAGTTCAAGATTTTATAAAAAAAAATAAAGAAAATATTCTTGAATGTTAAAAATCAATAAATATACTTTAAAAAGATTACGAAAAAAACCCTTAATTTAAACAGGATTTAGAAAAATTCAAAAAACTATAGACTTATAAAAAAAACATATCTAGTTTAATAGATGAAATGAAATTTTTTTTTAACATAAAAAAGTAAATATAAAAAATGCGAGAAATGTTTAAAGAAGATGGAAATTTTGAATATATACATTTAAAATTAATTTCTTTATGTGAACTAAGAGACACTTTAATCCAAAAATTAACCCAAAACAACTCAAATTAATAAAACAATGAAGAAATGGATAAAATCCTCAAAGAGTTCGAAATGCTTTCAGAATTCGAGCAATCATTTTATTAAACTATATTCAATGATTTTTTAAAAAATGCACTTCATTTATCAAAATCAGAACCATCTAAAATAATACAAGTAGTAAAAATAATTGAAAGTGGAGACCGAATATTGACTTCAAAGAATCGAAATCCTTTATTTAAACTAAAAGCTATAAATACAATAAACGAATGTATAGACGAAAGATTCGATAATCGTTTAAAAGGCATATCTGATGTAATATAAGTACTCGAAAAAAGTAAATTTACAGTCAGTGATCTTTTAGAAGTATTAGATTATGTAACAAAATGCTTTCCGAAAAATTGGGATATATTTTAAGTTTATGAATCAAGATATAGATATAATATAGAAAAACGAATAATGCCTTATTTAGAAAATGAGGAAGAAATAAAAAATTCATATGGAATTTTATTAAACTTGATGACTTGGATAGACTCCTATTAAGAATTATTATCAAAAGCAGGAATAGATTCACTAGATTATATGTATTTAAAAACAAAGGCATTATAATTTATGCCTCATTTTTAAAATCATTTACGTGGAATGATGCAAGAATATATAGATTAATGCATGTAAAATGATAAAATGGAGTTCCAAACATATGAAGCTATAGAAACTTTAATAAGAAAAAAAAAAGAATTATAAGGGAATTATCCTGTGGACATTTTTTAACTTATAAATAGATAAATTGATGCATTAGGTCCAAAACTAGAAATAAGTTAGTTTATAGAATATTTAAGGTCTATTTCAGAAAATTTAAGCTAATAAATTATTAATATAGAACTGGAAAAAATAAAAAATTAACTAAAGGAAATTACACAAGAATAAGATACATTTATTTTCATGTGCAAAGTAATGCTTTGTGTTAACAATTTTTATAAATGTACTTTAAATGCTGCTGAAAGTAAAAATTAGGCACTTTCTTATGTTTAAAATACTGAAGAAAGCTATTTAGATAGAGTTGATAATATTTTTATTAATGAAATTATTAAAAAATTTAAAAATGCTATAAATGATCTCTTAGGAGTACTTATTAATATTATTTTTACTCCAATAAATGCATAAATTATCCCTTTACTTTTTACCTAAAAATGGGTTGAAGATGAACTTTTTCAACTATTAATTAATACTATGGAACATTATTTGAAATAAATAAAAAATGGACTTTAAAGTAAAATTCATTTCGGGTCAGTTTGTAAATTTTCTTTTGAAAAAGCCATGTAAAATTATTGGGAACATTTCATATTTTAAATTAAAAAAGTATATAAGAATATTTGTGAAGATTTTCAATATAATAATATTTCATAAAATTAAAATGTAGTAGAAAATACAAAGGAAGAAAAAAAAAAGAAAAAAAAAGCATAATAATAAGATGATAAATCAGAGCTTAAAAATCTTTTTACAAATAAATAAGACTTTTTGAAAAAAATAAAATCGGATTAATTATTTTTGTCTAACTTTTTTTAAGAAAACTAAATTGCTCATATTAGTTCCTAATAAATTACATTTATCGATATGCAATTTTAAGTTTTTATTTAAATTTTGAGTATTTCTAAAAATGATATTGATGTATTATTCCCATAAATTATTTAATCTTTCCATAAATAAATGGCTGCTTTTATATTAGAAAGCTGTTTATCTATAAGAGATGATGTTGATGCAGGATTTAAATAAAATTTAATGAATAGAATAAAGACATAAATTCAAAATATAAAAGATGAAAATTAAATCATTAATTGATTTTTTTATAATTTATAATAAATAACATATACTGTTTTATTTTAACTTTTTTTTTTATAAAATTAAAAATGCAATTTTTATTTATTTTTTACTTTTAAAAAAGTATATAAAATATATTTTTAAAATGGAAAATATTCATTTTTATTTTAAGATATATAAAATATTTTTTTTTTTAATCAATTCTTAAAAAAAGATGAATAAAGATTTTTCTTATTTTTTTCTTTTTAGACTGACTTAACATTTTCTTATTAACTTTTATTGAATTTCTAATTATTAATAAGTACTCTTTTTTCAGGTTTAGCACTTGATTATTGTCTTGGTATTTTTTCAACATTAAAAGCTTCTAAAGAGTCTAATGGAGAAGTATTGATTGTATTCTATTTAATAAAGGGATTAATTTTTATGACACTTTTTTGGAGTTCTTCTTTATTTTCGTTTCGTTTAATTTCTTATTAAATTCTAACACAAAAATCTTCATTTGCATTTTCCAATTATTTATAATCATTTAAAAAAGCATCACAAAACGATTCTAAAGAAAACAAAGCATTTTTATCTTAATTTTCCGCTTTTATTTTTTTAAAAAAATTGACATTTTGTTTCTCTTAAATTTAAATTTCCTTTAAATTTTCTTCATCTTCGCTAAAATTATAGTTTTCAATATTTTCAAATAATTAATTTTCACTAGATTTTTCATCATTATTTTTCTCTTTATTGTTTATTAAAATTTCGTCTTTATTTTTAATTATTTTTTCCTGTTTATTTTTACAAAAACTATTATTCTCATTATTATTATATTATTTATACTAATCATAATTTTTCTTTATAGAATTATAATTTAAATATTATTTCTATAAATCTAGTTTACTTTCTTTAATTTGTCTTTTTTCTAAACTATAAACATCTCTTAATCCTTAACAAACTTCTTCGAAATATTCGATTTTGATTCCTATCTATCTTAAATCTTCTTTTTTAAAATCGCTACCTAATTCATTTATATAAGTAAGTATTTTCTCTTAAAAATCAAAAACGAGTTAATGTTTAAAAATAAGAGACACTTTTTGTACCATTTCTTCATATTTTTAAGGAATATCAAATTTTAATTCTACTCTTAATTTTCTCATTACACTCCTTTTTATTAATAAAACAAAATATATACATTTTTTTTTTTAAAAAAAAAAACTAAAAATTATTTAATCTATAAAATAAATCAATAGCCTTTTTAATTCCAATTCCATGAATACTCGGAATATAATCACTCCCAGCCATAATACATATAAGAATTCTATTATTTTCACTCTGGGCTAAAAAACACCTTAGACTTTCACATTAAATAGTTTTTCTAAGAGCTTAATTTTCTGTATATTTATTTAAATCTAAATATTCACAACTCCCATCTAATTTTAATTTAAAAATAACTCTAGGACATCCATAACAAATCAAATCTGAATCTTCAGTAACCGCAGCATCAGTGATTCCTTTTCTGACCATAAAAGCAATTTAAGCATCTGCCTCATAAGGCGAGATCACAAATTTTATTTTATTATGAAAAAGAGTATCAATTACTTCATATATCATCTTTTTATTTACACGAAGACATCTTGAAAAATACTTAAATGATTCTTATTTTTTTCCTTCTTCGATTAATTTATTTGCTATATCTAAGTTTTTTTATTTTGTATTTTCTCTTTATTTATGAGTTAAGTCTTTTGCGGGTAATGAACGACCATCAAATACTATTATTGGCTCTATTTTATAAAATTAAAGTAGCTTTATTATTTTAAATAAATATATCATATATTCTTTCGTTTCTATATTATTATTTAATTGATATGAACATGCATAACAACCTTTATATAAAAAATACATGGCATCTACTGCTACCGATTTTATGTTTAATTACGATAAGTATTTTTTTTCTAATATAGGCTTTATTAGTTAAGATAATCCTTCTATACCCATTTTTAAAATATTTTTGGTTTACTTTTTTTTATTCTTAAGCGGTTAAAAATATTTTTTTTATATAAATAAATGTTTTAATATATCTAATTATTAAAAAAAATATATATAATAAAGCCCGCTTTTTTTCTTCTGAAAACAACACGTTAAAAATGCTTTTTATTTTTAGTAATTTATTAAAATTATTTTAAATTAATTTTTATATTTATAAAATAAATTAAACTAAACTAAAAAAAAAATTATAAAAAATATATAAGAACTTTCATTTTGTTTAGAATATTTTTTTACTAAATAAAAAATAACAATTTTAAAATTAAAATTTATTATCGACTATAAATAAACTTTAATAATGTTGTATAATAAAAATAAAAAAATCAAAGATCTTAATCAAGAAAACAAACCGAATCAAATAAATCAAAACAAATCAAATATATATATTAAAAAAATAAACAATAATTAAAACATTTTTTGTTATATTTATAATTTATATAAAGAATGACATAAAGTCAAAAAAAAATATTCTTTAAAAAAAGTAATAATGAAAAAATTTATTAAATAAAAAATTATAGATTAATATAATATAAATATTAAGCAAATAATTATATTCTAGGATAAATATTAAACACAAATAAGTTTTTATTTTGAAAAAGCGATAAATATGTTAATTTTTATTTTAGTGTTATTATATTTTTAATGATTTAATATTATAGTAAAGTAAACCAAAAAAATAATAGATATTGAAAAAAGTACTAACAGCCCCAATATATCTATTATAAATTATAAAACCTTTAATGTTGTATTTAGTTTATACCATCCTAAAAATAATACTCATTATATTATTCTACAATAAACTAAGTAAATATTTTAGCAAATATATATACTAATATATATAAAAAAACAGTAAAAAATACTAGTAAGTTCAAATAAATTCAAAATAGACGTTTTTTTGTTAGAGATATTAATAATTTATAATAGGCAAAAAAACATAACGATATTTTCTTAAAATAATTAATTAAAAGATTTTTATTATTTAGATACTTCTTAATAAGAAATATATATTAAAAGCCATATTTTTTAAAAAATATATATCAGATTCAGATCCTGTAAAAATAAACAAAAAAGCAAAAAAAACAATAATAATGTAGAAATAATAAACGAACAACTTAAATAAATATAATTTTCTGATAAAATATTAAAAACTTAGGATTTTATAAATCATATTGAAAATAATATCCATTATCATAAAATACAAGAAAATAAATAACTATGAAAATGAAAAATATATTTTGGAAAAGCAATTTAGGTTAGTTGATTTAAGTTAAGGAATTAGTAAAAGCAAATATTTTTTGATATTTTAAAGAATAAGTCACAAATTTTGAAAATAAATTTTCGGCTTTAGATAAATTTTTGATATATTTATAAAGGTTGACAAAATTTTAATATGATTAATAAATATTTTTTTATTTTAGAAAATTTTATAAATATATTTGTAAATAAATTATTTAGTTTTAAGGAAATAATTTAAAAAAGAAAGAAGCTTAATTAAAAGAAGACAATTAGAATTCGGGAAATAATAGGAGGAAATTTAAATACAATTAGATATTAAATAAATATATAACAAAAAGAGTGCAAGAAAATAATTTCTTTTACAAAAAAAAAATATAGATATATATATATACATATGTATTAATTTAAAAAAAAAATATTACTAAAATAATAAATAAAATTAAAATATATATATATATATAATATTATATAATTCGATAATAATGTAAGATAAATAAAGTAAAAAATCAAAAAATTTAGCCAATTTTTTTTTAAAGATTAACATTCATAATTTTTAAAATTATATAAGGTATTTTAATGATATTAATTTTTTAAGAATACTTCGGGAAATTAAATAGATTAAATGTTAATTAATATTTTTAGCCCTTTAATTTTGTCTTTTAAAAAAAAAAGTTAAATAAAATATAAATTTTAAAATTCAAAGAAAATATTTTTATTCAATAAAGGTTAAAAGATAATATCATTAATAAAACATAGTAATTGTATTAAAAATACTATTATAAAATTGATAATGTTTAAATAAAATAAAATATAAAAATATTATTATAAAATAACTAAATTAATTTTATTAAATATAATTATCTTTTAATACTTTTTATTTTTAAAGTATTATTAATATAAAATAATTAATATTTTTTATATTTAATCTTAAATAAATTAATTTATAGGAAATATTATATATATAAATAAAATAAAAATTTCATCAAATTTAAATATTTGTCTAATATGAATTTTATTATATTTATTTAAAGCTTTAAATTCAATAATCTTATAGATTTAATTAATTAAATGTTAAAAGATATTTATTAAGCTTTAATAGGCTAAATAAATATTTAATCAATAAGTTTTAAAAATAAGTATATAATTATTAATTATAAAGATTAATGCTTAAGATTTATAAAAATTAAAAAAGAAAAATTATTAAATAATGAAATATTATATAATAAATAAATAAATATTAATATAAATTATTTAATTTATTTTAATTAAAAATTTTTTATATTTATATATAATTTGAAAACAATTAATTTATATCTTTCTCATAATTACATATATATATTTTTTTAATAATACTTAATCAGAAAATTATTAATATTTTATTTTTTTTAAATAAAATATTTCTATCATAAATAATTTAAAATAAATTTTTAATATTCACAAATAAAAAAAATACATAAATTATAATATTATAATATCTTTTAATAATTATTTTATTTATAAAACAATATTTTTTTAATGTTTGTATATTTTGAAAATTTTCTATTTTTAATTTAACAAAAAAAAAAATGAAATTATATATATTTTATTACAATAATAATTTGAATATATCTAAAAAGAATTTACAATATATTAACTTAAATTTTTATATAAAATAAGTTATAAAAACATCTAATAAAATTCATTATTACTATTTACTATTTAATCCATATATACTATCTTATTTTTACAATTCAAACAAATTAAAAGGTTAAACACTATTATTGGCATCAATTTATTATTTTCCAGAGGATTATATTTAACTATTTTTTAATTTTTTTACACAACTACCTCCAAATTTCGGACTCTCTAGGTATTATTTATCTGTATTTTTATTAAAAGATTTCGGAGTATTAATATAGTTTTTAACGATAGGTGTATAAGCAAAAAAATTAACTGGGATAGAATCCATAAACTATTACTAAAGAATATTTTTACTTATAAAGTTTTTAGGAGTTTATAATACGAAAGCTGAGTTCTTAAAATAATTAAACATTTTCGACAAAAATATATTATTATAAAATGTAATAATATTAATATTTTCGAAAACACCATTAGCATTAATAAAATGAGTATTTTTACTTTATTAATTTCAAACATAGGCAATTCAACACATTAGTTAATCATGATTTTAAAATTTATTTATTATTTAAAAAGACTCTTATTAGCAGCATGTAAAGCATAAATACAACATAAAATTATTTAATCAATGCATCTAGCTTATAATATATCATTATTTTCAGTAAAAATATTTTTCATAGCTTCCCATAATTTCTCTCGAACATTTTCTTCTAATTCCAATTTTTATGTTATTTCGAATATTCTTAAAGCAGTATGATAAAACAGTCTTTTACAGATTACATTTAAATAAGATTATTATTATAATTAAGTATGTTTTTCATCAGCATAATTTTTTAAGGCAATATAAATAGAATTTATTTTATCATCCCAAATAAAATACAATAGAATTTTCCTTTCTTAATTAAAAAGATGTTATTTTATACTTTCTGGAATATGTCTAAATTATAAAATTAAAAAACAAATATTAAATATATAAATATATATATATATATATATATATATATATATATTTTTTTATTTTTTTATAATTAAACCTATCAAATTTAGCAAAATTAGATATAACTCTCCAAAAATCTAGACTTTTTATGTTACAAGTATTAATAATAAAACTAAGTGATATTTCTTTTATTTATTAAACATATAAAAAAGTTTATAAACACATTGCTAAAAGTGAGAAAAGAAATGTTTTATTATTTATTATTTAAATAAGTTAATTTTAGCAATTAATTCTACTTTCTTCTTAACTATATTATAATTAAAAAAAAATTATATATAAATACATATATAAACATTATATAAATAAAAAATTGTATTAACATGTAAATATATATATATATATATATATATATATATATATATATATATATATACATATATATTTTATTTAATTTAACCTTATCATATTTTCTAAAACATTTTTGTAAAAATTTATTATTTTTTTAATTAATTATTAATTGTTTTCCTCATTTAATTTCACTTTTTCTTCCAAAACGCATTTAATTATTTCCTTTATTTCGATTTCTATATTTTCATTATTTTTTTCTAAATAAAAATCTATTCTTTCCCATTTTTATTCTTTACAATGGAGATTTAACCAATTATAATTTTCTAAAGAAGTAGATATTGGTGTTTAAGGCGGTATTTTGAAATTTACAGATTTGAACTATTTATTAAAAACATTATTATTATTATTTAAAGAAATTGATTAATCTTTTTATGCATTTTCGTCATTATTTTTTGCACTAAAAGTTATTTCATCATCAAAATTTAGTACTTTTTATACTCTTTTATTATTATTGTCTTCATTTTAAGTGCATTAACCAGCCTAATTTTTAAATTAAAGGAAATCTTAAATAACATCAGGTGGTTACCCTTCCTTTTTAGATAAAAGTGAAGGCGTTTTATTAATAGAATTCGACTAATACCTATTAAAAAAAAGCATTTCTTACACACTTGAATAAAATGTATTATTAGAATTAAAAAAATACTCGAAATTTTGTTCTGAAGAATCAAGAAAGAAGTTAATAAAATTGCAAATTTTAATTTGAAAAAAAAGACTCAAAAAATAAAATGTTTTCTTTTTCCAATTTATTATTACTCAAAATTTCATTAATTTTTTCCTTTAAATTTTCCTCGTTTTTTCCTTTTAGAATTTCTTCATTTTTTTAATTCAAATTTTCATCTTTATTTTCCTTTAAATTTTACTCTTCTTTTTCGTTTATTTTTTCTAAAATTATTTTCGTACAAATAAAATGCAAAAAATAAATGCTTTTTTCAATATTTTCGTTTATTTAGAAAACTTATTTACCATATAAATATAAACTCCAGATTTTTTTTAGTATCTTATCTTCATTATTCTCTTATAAATAAAATTTTGTTACATTTTTTAACTTTTTATATAAACGATAATTCATTAAATAGTTCTCAAGATATTTCGATATGTTTTTTTATATTTACCATGATATTTTTGATGAAAATTCTGATAATATTTCAAAGAAATCATCCAAAGTATTTTATGGTGATAATCTTTTTATTATATCGTTTATTTTAATACATTTTTATTCACAAGAAGATATATAAATGGCAGATAAAATGTATTCTAAAGTATTTTTAGAAGGAAGTTCAGTTTAGTTTGTTTTTTACATGTATTCACTAATATAACTTTTAGCCGTTTTTATTATTTCTTCGTCAATATTTAATTCTTCTTTTAAATTATTTATAATTTCTTCCATAGTTGTTTTTTTATAATATTTTTTTTTTATTAATTGTGTTATTTTTTTAATGTTTCTATATAATTATTATATATTTTTTGTTATTTAGCTTAAATTAATTATTTTTATTTATTATATATAAGAAACTTATCAAAACCGCATTTAATATGGATTTAAATTAAATATGCGCGGATTAATGTTTAACATTAATATATTATTAATAATTTATTTTTATAAATGAAATTTATTTATAATTTCAAATTTTGAAAATTATATTTTTATAAAAAAATAAAAATTATTTAATAAGAAATTTATATTTATTAATTTTATCTCTTTTTTTTATAATTTGAATATATTTTTATTATTTTTTTTTTTTTTTTTTCATTGTAAAATTTTATTAGCTTTAAAATTTTAATTTTTTTTTTTTTTTTATTATTATTATTAGTTATAAAATTAAATAAATTATTAATTAAAAAATTAAATAATATATTATTGAATATCATAAAATATAATATTATACACATCATAAATTAATTATTTAATTTAGTAAAATTAATTATTTTTTTTTAATTTAATTTAATTTAATTTAATTAAATTTATATTTTTAATTATTTATTTTAATGTATTTTATGTATTTTATCTTAATATATATACTTATTTATTTTTATATCCTTTTTTTGCTTATATTTTATATGTTATAACATATTTTATTGTATATATATTAACAATAATGATAATATTATTATATGATTACAGTATAAATTAGATTTTAAATATTTTTTTTTCAAAAATTAAATATATACTTAATTTAATTAACAAATTATATAATATAATAAATTAAATTTAAAGGAAAAATAGAATTTTTTTATTAATGCTATTTTTATATATGTAAAACTATCAAATATAACAAAATAATTTAAATATATATAAATTAAATATAAAGAAATTCAAAATAAATATATATAAAAATAATAAAATATATTATAAAATAGAAAAAAATAGAAATTTTTTTTTATAAAAATGAAAACTATTACCATAATATTATTCTTAGCAATTTAATTAGCTATTTTAAAAGCCTAGTCTTTTGAAGAATGTAAATCTACCTTAGAGAATGTATTTATTAATAGCAGATTTGACGAAACATCAAAATTGTATTCTGCATTCAGATAAAGTAGCTCAATTATTCCGTTTCATTTAGGAGATTAGATTTTATGCTAAGACAAAACTAATGCAAACTTCATTACTGCTTACTTTGATTTAAATTTATATAATAAATAATTATATTAATAACCAATAGTAATTTGTGTCCCAAACAATTGCACGTCTAATATATTGAGAGAAAATAAATAATAAATATATGATATGATAAGTATTTTATTATAAAAACTAAATCTATAATAAGATGTTCATGTTTAAAACTTGAATTTTTATGATTCTTATAATGATTTGCCAGACTATGATTACGCTTCTATTTTAGTATTAATTTTTATTTCTTTGTTTATTTTTTTGGCTTGTTTTTCATCTTTTTATCTTCATATAATACAAGAAAAAAGAGTATTAAAATTAATAATAATAATATATTAAAATATATATAAAAAAATAGGAAAAAAAATTCATTTAAACTAATTATACCTAAAACTAGCAATCAATTTCTATTCATTAATTTTAATAAAATTAATCATTAAATTAACACATTTCAGAAACATCTACTTAAGATTTTACAAAACCTAACTCAAATTTCGATATATTTTTAGAATGTTTTTCAATAGAACATAATTTAAAGAAATTATTTAAAGTTTCAACAGATTCTGATAATTCGTTCGCGTATATAAATGGGGTAAGAGTTTTGAGTATTTTCTGGGTAGTTTTAGGACATGAATATAGTATAAGAATTAATTCGAATAAAAATAGCTATGATATATTAAATTAATTTTCAAAAGTTGGAATTATAACGATTGCTGAAAGTGGATTGTTCACTGTTGATATATTTTTTTATTTATCAGCATTATTAGCTACTCATATAATTTTGACTAAATATTATTAAATTAAAACTATTAAAGTAATTATTTTTAATAAATAAAAATTCATATTTAAATATTTTTCTAGTTTTATCATATTCTAAATATATGGGCTCATAGATTTATTAGAATTTGGCCTGCTTATATGATTGCATTACTTATTTTTTGGTAAGTTTTGAAACACACAGGAAATGGACCATTATGGTACATGTTATTAGGTTAATTAGATGTGTGTAAGGATAATGCTTGGAAAAATGTTCTTCTTTTAGACAACTTATTAGTTAAAAGTTACTCATAATATTGTTTTCGTTGGGGATGGTATTTATCAAATGACTTTTAATTTTACTTAATAACTCCTTTAATTCTTTGGATATATTTTAAATAGCCAAAAATAGGTTCTTTGTTAGTCTTTTTACTTTTAGGTGGCACTATATCTTTAAGTTATTACTTAGCTTATTCTAAAAATTACCAAGATCAAGTACTATCGCCAACATTTGATAATAGTAAAAATCTTGAATTAATGATTGATTTCTATTTTAAGCCTTATGTAAGGTATAGTCCCTTTTTAATTGGAATGTTATTTGGAGTTTTATACACAGAATACAAATAAAGTATAAAAATATTATATTTAAATATATTTATATAAATAAAAATAGATAATGCATTTATGGTTAATTTTATTTCTAAAGTTAAAAAAAGTTTATTTATTTAATTTTTATTTTATGGCTTGGGACTTTTCCTTTCTAATTATATTATCTGGTGTATTGTTCCTTTATAAAAAGACTCTAACAATTGGACTAAAATCGAACATGCTTTATTTTTGTCCTTAGCAAAAGTAGGATTTTCACTTGGATTTGCTTTATTTACTTTTCCTTGTACTTATGGTGTTAATGATATTTTTAATAAAGTTTTAGGTGCAAAATTTTGGGTCCCTTTAGCCAGAATTAGCTTCTGTTTATATTTATGTCATTATTTTATTATTCAAAGATCTCTTTATAATCAAAAATAAACAAGATATTTTAATAACTAATATCTTTTTTATAGTTATATTTCTGATTTGATAATTTGTATATTTGTAGCAACTGCTATATCTATGATATTTGAGATTCCTTTTATTAATTTAGAAAAGAATTTCATTGTGATGAAAAAATAAGAGGTTATTTAAAAAGAATAAGATGAACCAATATAATAAAAATTAATATAAAAAGATCAATAAATTTGAATAAAAAATTAAAAAAAACAATTATATATATATACACTATATGTATATATGAATAAATTTTTAATACATAATTTTTATTTGATTTTTTTTATAATTAATTAATATCATCATTAATTATTTAATACTTTTTATAAATGTTCAAAATCATTAATTAATTATACTTAAAATTAATATATTTAACTACTTTTTATATTTTAGGAAATAAAAACTAATAATTTATAATTAATCATTTAAATCAAACAATCGAAATCATCATAATCATTACTAAAATCAAACTTTATGATTAGAACTTTTTTTAAATCATTCAAAATAAAATTACATTCTATAAAATAATTCTCCAAAACAAAATTTTAGATAAAATTTATATTTTTTTCTTACAAAAATTAGCATATTTCATTATAAGAAATTTATTTATTTTTAGCAAAAATCAACTTTTAAGCCAAATTTTACCAAAAAATTAAATTTTAATGTAAATATTCTTCTTTTTTAAATAAAAGACCATATGATATTAAACAAACAATCACTTTATTTAAAGAATATTCATTTATTTATTTCGAAAAAACATTATCTAAAAAATCCTTGTATATTTTATTAAAAATATCACTTTTTTTTATATCTAAATTTAAAGCAATCATTGATGAGCAAACTAAAATAGGATTTTTTTTATTTTAAAAATAAAATTTTTCAATTAAATTTAAACTAAGATTCTAATATTTTTCTTAAAAAGGCAATTTTGCTAAACTGAAAATCAAAAAATCAAACGAAAATTGAAATTTTTCTAAATTATTTTCAATTTTTTGAACAAAAATATCTAAAACTTTTTCTTTTTTTTATTATTTTTATAATTAATAAACCTACAAAATTTACGAGAAATTTAAAAAGTTAAACAAATTGAAATTCCGAATTAAAAAACTTTCAAAATATTCTTAAATTTCTAAATTTTAATAAATTTTTGAATAAAAACAATAAATTTAAAAATATTCAATTAAAATTTAATTTTTTAAATTATTTTGGCCCCTAATTTTTTCTAAAAAAGCTTCATTTATAATTCTTAACAAATTTTTCAATTGTTTTTTCTATGAAAAATTACACACATTTTTTCTTAAAAAATCCATTTAAATTAATAAGTCTTCTATTTTTTCTTTTCTTTTAATTATTTTTTCTATATTTTTTTCGTTTTTTATTTTCTCTTCTTCTTATAAATCTTCATATATATACGTTAAACTAATTTAAATTAATAAATTTTCTTTATTTTATAAAATATTTAATTAAAAAACTTCCTCATTTTCAATTTATTGGAGTATTTTTTCTAAAAAAAATAAACATTTTTACTTTTCAATTTTATTTTTATATAAAAAATCTAAAATCAGAATATTATTTGGTTATATTTTATAAAAATCTTTACATTAAATACAATCTTGAAGTTAAAAAAAATCTATTTTTTGAATAAATAATAACAAAATTTTATTTATTTCATTCTGTTTTTATAAAAACTTTTATTTTATCATAATTTAAAGATTAAAAAAACCAAAAAAGATTGTTTTATAAATCAATATTATATTTTTCTAGTATTTTTAGTAGTTAGTTTTACAAAAAGTCATTCTAAAATTTCTAAGAAAGTAAAAAAAGTTAAAAGAAGAATTCAAAATTTAAACTTTTATTTTATTCTTAAAATATTTTTTCAATAATTTTTCCAAAAAGTTAATTTAAATCATCATTTATTTCAAAAAAAGGCTCTTTAGGCGTTTAAATTAAACATTTAATAAAAATTTACAATTAATCAATTTATAAAAATTTAGACTTTTTAAAATATTTAATTAATATATTTAATTTAGTAATATTTTTTCTTTTTCAAATAAATAAAATTTAAAAAATTGGTTTAAAAATCTTTTGATTTGCTAAATAATTTACTCACTTCAGAAATTTTTTAATTTTATTAAAATTCTTCAAGATACGTTAAGTTAAAAATTATTTAGCATTTATTTTTAACATATAGTTCATAATATAAATCCTCAAATTTATTAATTATTATTAATCTTATTTTTTTAAATACATTATTGTTTTTCTCCTCTTTAAAATTCTTAACTTATTATTAGAAAGAAAACAAAACAAAAAATATATTATATTTATTTAATTTTAAATTTTTTTTTACTAAAATATTTTAGGAAAACTCTATATTCTTCCTAATTTTAATTTTATATATTTTCTTTTATTTTTTCAATGAGTTTATTTAAAAGTGGATGATTATTTTATTGATCTGATAATTAACTTAAAATAAAAATTCTTTAAGTTATTCTATAATCATTTCCTAAACTAAATTAATTCTTGTATAAATTTATATATGCATTTATAAGTTCGTAATTTTAAAAATTTATACTTTTAAGTTTCATTAAAATATCTATAAAGAGACCTTCACTAAATTAATATTTTTCTTAATTTTATATTAGAATATTAATTAAGTTTTAAATTATTTAATAATTAGGTTAAAAAAGTTTAAACACACTCAAAATTTAAGATATTCTCAATATTTTTTAATTTTAATTACTCAACTATTATTTTATACTTTTAATAAAAATAATAATATCAAAAAAATAACAAATAAAAAATACCCATTATATGCTTAATAAATAGTTAAATTTTTAAACAAATTTTCTTTTTAGTATTAATTTTGATCTACTAAAAATTTAAGATTTTAAACAAAACTATTAGTAACATTAAAAGAATTTTGAAAAAAATATTAATAACAAAATCTATAAAGAAAACTATTCGAAAACTAAGAAAGACTAATTAAAATAATAATAAAAAAAAAAAAAAAAAAAAAATTGTACTTTTATAAACCTTCAATTATATTAATACAACAAAAAATATCAATATTCTAATTATTAGTAAATAAAAACACAACAATATTTTCTAATAAACAATTAATTTTATATTCTTAAACTTTATTTTCAACATAAACCGATAATTAAAGAACACTTAATAATTTAAAAACCACACAAAGTATTTCAAAATCAAACTAATGAAAATTATCAATCAAAACATCAATAATTTTTAACAAAAGATTTTTATATTTTTGATTTTATTAATATATCGAACATCCTTTTAGTATATTAAAAATAGTTTAATGAGTAAAATATTCCTTTTATTTATCAAAAAGATTTTCTAATAAATGAAACCAAGGATCATTTGGTAAATAAACAACGGCTAAATCTAAAAAAATTTAGCTTGCCTACCTTGCATTTATACTTTCAAAATTCTTAACAGATTAAAGTTTTAGACTGATTTTTAATAACTATTTCTTACCTTTTTCTTATTAAATTTATCCATATAGACCGCATTATATAACTTATCTAAAAAATGTTAATACTTCTATCAGAGTATTTGTTTTCATATTATCTATATTTTTTTCGATTTCATTTAACAATTTTTAAAATTAAGATTTATATTTTGTTAAGTCAGATTATTCTGTGTATTATTGATTTAATTTTGGTATTAACTACTGTAAGACGTAATATATGTCATTTGGATATAACAAGGACTCATTTTTAGTATATAAATATAATATATCTTCTATTGATTTAACTTATTTAAGAGTAATTATTAAATCATTTAAGGGACTTTGAATAGATTAAGAATATTAAAATTGATATATTAATTTACAAATTTATGATTAAAAAATACTGTTTGTTATTATCTTTCTGAACATTGTTTTTTATAAATTATTTATATAATATATAATATAAATTTATACTTTATAATTAAAAAATAAAATAAATGTATAAAATAATTATATTTTAAAAAAATAATTATTATATGTTGTTTCTTTAATTATATTTTCATAAAACTTCTTAATTAGAATCTAAAGTAATATTTTCTTCGTCCTTTTTCTTCATATTTATATGATTGGCTTATTATTAATAATAACTATGATCTTTAAAACCATCTTATTAAAATAGAGATGCATGAATTAATATTAAGCTAATTCTAATTTTATTTAAAAAATATATATATATATATATAATTATTTTATATATATATATATATATATTTTACTATAAAGACCTAGTATAACTTCGTATAAT